GGTCAACAGAAAGAACCGACATGGATTTCACGAAGCTGATTTTCCTTATGATGCTGCGCACCTTATTCTGTATATTATAATCCAGTCCATCTTATGTACTTCGTCACTAATTCTTTACAAGTGTAATTATTTCCTCTGCAGTACAATTGATCGGGACTTGTTCGAGGTTGCAAAGTCCGTTCTCTCTACAGCCGTTGAGCAGGCCTCTATGCAAGACGTCGAGACACCGCAGCAGGAGAAGACTTTTGTCCACTCCGTTCTGTCTCAATTGACTCAGGCCGTGTACGCCCCACCTCGGAAAGATGCCGCCGTTTCGTCCGAGTTGGCCAGGCTTACTTATTCACGCCTCGCTCCCTTCTTACAGCGTCCCGTAAGTGGAATGTTCCAGTTTTTCTTCTCTCCTCATCGCTTTCAGTGAGCCTCGTTACGACCATATATTTAAAATTATTTATTATGCGTACCAGCCTGTGCACACTTTGAAGTTAATCTTGCCTCTGAATTAGTCTAATCAAGTTGCTGGCAGAAATTGCTCGATGACTGTCAACACAAACCCCTTGACCATAGAAGCAGCTTATCCTTGATTCTCTTGTGTTGGGCGATTGCAGAATTTCGCGTTGGTAAAGGCATTTACTTTAATCCGTAATGGTGTGCCCTTAATATGGTGGTGTAGGAGTAGAATCAATAGCAAAAGCTCAGTTTCATCCAATGAAAGTGCTGTTAAGTGTCTGGTGGGGGGATCGCAGAGGAGCAACTTCTCACGAGCTTCTTCCATGTGGCCGAAGAACAATTCTCTCAAACCTGTTGACGTCCAAGCTAAACGTCAAGTTTGGTCAATCGAAGAGGCGTCATCTTTCACCACGGCAACGTTAGACCGCGCGTCGCTCACCAGATGCTGCAGAAACTCAGGAAGTTTAAATATTGATTCCTACAGCGCCCACTGTTTTATTGATATGGCGAAAAACAGGACTGCATAGAAGGGATCAAAAACAACCTTACGGCTTCCTTTGAAGTGAAACCACGCAGTTTGTCTAGCAATTCAAACGAACTAACACCACTTTCCATGACTGTATTGTACGTAAATTTGTTCTAAATCCAGCACAAACTTTCAAAATCACCCAATAATTGTTCACGTTCGTTTCCTCGGTTGGTATTGTTGATATAATAGTGGTCAAGAGTGAAGTCACCTCGTTTGTAGGCGCGACCTCCTCCACAAGTAGGTCCCTTCAACTTCAATTTAACTAGTTATTTGATTTCTCGTTTTTTTGTACATTGGATCATGGTGACTGCCAGCTCGTACTCTTATTGGCGTTGCTTTTCCGGTAACATTCGTTGATGATTCCAGCCACTTTTGACAGCCCTGGTCCATTAATTTACGAAAATATGCGTACCATTTGTTACAATAAGGAATGCGAGATTCTCTATTTTGAAAACGACCTCCCTCCGCTACTGAAATGAACCAATTTGTTAGGGAAGCTGTTAACGACTGTGTTAGACAAGGGTTTCGGTTACCACTAACTCCGATTTTATTGCGCTCTCTTTGCCTCTAGATAAAAAAATCGCCGACGTAGAGCCGATTTCTCAACACACTCAATCGAGGTGTACCGTTTTTGCTCGACCCTCCATTATCGTATGTACATGCTCCATTATCAATACAACCTTACAACTATGTGTCCGTATTGATGTGACCAGCTGTTTGAGTTAAGTTAATGAAACACATTCACAGAAATCATTTCGTAGATCGCCTATGCTTTGACACACAACAGGTACTGGAGGTTTGGTCAGTTGTAGACGCATTAATTCTGAGCCTGATCTCTGGCTCTAATTGCGGGTTATCACAGTTCATTAAAAAAAAAATACCACATGAAATGAGCGCAGTCACACCAACTGATGAAAGTAGTAAATTATATTTTACCTGCTGCTGATTACACTCTTCAATGATATGACGAATGGGAAAAAAGAATAAAACAACACCATTTGAAAAACATTCACAGCTTAAAAACATCTTGAACTTTTGATGAAGAGGGCAAAATTGAAGGAACACCGTCTGATTGTTGTGGTCGCTGCTCTCCAAATTCCACGCGGACAAGTGCGGAGTCCGCAGAACCATTGATGTGCACAGGGGGCTATAGAGAAAAGTAGATGACGATGTTTTACAAATGTGCTAGTTATCACCGCTAAAAAGTATACTTTTAAAGAAGCTGATTGGTCAAGAAAGCACTTAAGCATATCACTCAACTGACACAGATTAAAGCCTTCCTAGTCAAATTGTCGGTGCCTAATCAGATGATTCAGAAATTGTCTCTACAATTCTCAGTTAAAAACTTCTATAATTATACATGCAACGACCTACTCAAACGTAGGGACAGTAGAAAAGCAAGATAATTAGCATGAACAGTAGAACCAAACGAAAGCAAGCGTGATGAAGGAGTGCAGGCAGCAACTTCGTCATTAAAGTGATGTTACTGACAGAAATCAAGCTCGCAAATCTAATCGGACAAATGCTCAACTAAAACAGCAACCCCGAGTTACCGCGTTATGGTGTGGTCATGAGCTGGTGCACGTTTGGGGTATTTTACAGGGAAGCAGAATATACACTCACGATGCTAAAAAATGTATGTTATTTCGAATTTTGCTGCCATCAGGACTTTAATTGAACAAGTAAAATCCAACCTATTCCTGATCGTGTATTACGACAAGATAAATTCTGAAATGAGCACTCCTTGAGTTAAACGTAAACTAAGGAGGAGGAGAAGTGTCCAACATAGTCACGTCGGCGTTATTTGTCATAGGAAGCTGCGTGCGGAAGTCAGAAAATGTCCAATTAGATGACGGAAGATGTGAAGTGGTAAAAATGTTAAAACAGGTTATGATGGGTTAGCGTAAGTGACCAACAAGAGCAAGGTCCTGCAAAGTGGGTGGCACTAAAAAAAGCTCCCTGCTAACGCATCTTACTTGCACTTCATTCAGCAGGTTCTCAGACAAGGGTGAACAGTTCGAGGCTAAAGAACTGTAGGCCACACGCAATTTCCCTCCCTTCAATATCTTCTCCAGGCTTTGGCGTGCTTCGATCTGCTCCTACACGTTAAGGCACAAAACTCATTTCCATTTAAGTGGAAAGCAACTGGGTAGAAGGGGTTGCGGAGGAGAGGAGGCTTGTGAGCTGACCCAAAAAGTAAACACTACAAGAACCTCCGATGCCCTGAAGGCAATCCGGGACCTGACAAAAGGAGGGCCAGCAGATCCGGCAATGAGAACATTTCACACGGCCCAAGCTCAGTGGCCAGTTAGGTTCTTGAGATTAATGAAGGGTGTATTATAGTCAAGCCCTTTCTTAACATTCACTGCTGACTGCACCGAAGTGACTAGCCAGTAGCGGGAATACAAATGACCGCAGGTGGATAAACTTTTTTAATCAAAATATTAATAAATCACGAAACCTAATTTCGATATCAAATAAATTATTTTTTAATGACAAGAGGCCCATCAACTTTTAATGAAATTTCTACGCGCTGATGGGTTTGCAGGAGAATAAGTTCGGTTTTGAGGTTGATTACGTATTTTCACTTTGTCCAAAAATCCTCTGTCCTTTTTTGGCAACGTCATTTATCCAAATTCTTACAAAATCTAGTCAATATCTGCAAAAAACTCTATCAATTTCAACTCAGACTCTACGTCATTAGTAAAGCTTTGCAATTCAGTTTTGTAAACTTAAACATAAATGGTAACAAGATTGTGTATGTAGTGGGCCATGTGAGGTCACCGGAGATGTGTGAATTTAACCTTGCAATTTTCTAAACCTGGATGCTTACTTTGCTTGCTTCTTGGTTGTACGCGGTTGGTTTTCGATTAATGTAATTCCAACCAATTCGGTTTTTTTATTACCAGTGATGATTTTTTTAAAAAGTAAACCACTGAACTATGTTTGAAATGAATGCCTAAGCGTGCTTCGAGAATTCCTAACAATTCGCGCCAAGGTCAACTATCGAACATCCGCAGGAGCCGGGGACACTACGTGATTTTTAGTAGTGTATGCGATACACTCAACCACTCTGCGAACCAAATTCAAACATGGCTTTGATTTGTTCATCAATCATTTCAATATGTCGGCCAAGAAGTTGGTATTCGTTGACGGAAATGTTTCGACCAATTCTGACGCGTGCTTCATGCTAAGCAATGCACATCGGCAATTTAATATGGCACTTTATGAGCTTCAGCTGCCGTTTTGCATTTACAGAAATAAACAAACACGGACCGAAATTTAGCGATGCAAATAATAAGCGCCCTCTCGTATTAGGAGAACGGAAGAAGCCGTAATCGCTGATGGGACATGTGAATCAAAATCGCAGAAAACTTCCCACTGGTGAATATTTAATACCTAAATACTCTACGGTCAACTTCGTTTGGTAGCCTACCAGTAATTTTGGTATGAATTAAATAACGAACAGGTCCTCTTACCCGTGGGGAAAACTACAAATCAGTACTTTTTATACTAAAGTTAATTAACACGAACGAGTTTTAATAATGAGAGACTCTAATGCAATCTACTATGCTTGATAAATATCACGACATTTAGTACGAAAATAGGGTAAATCGAAAAAAAATCTGTCCGGTAGGGCGATATCAAAACAATCCGTGCTCCAATGACGGAGGATTGTGTTTTGTTTCAATTCACCACGGATTTTAAAAATTTATCACACTGACTGCGGCCGTATCGCATATTTTGACTTTTATTACAAAGATGGCGTCGCATTGACAATTAGCGGCAAAAAATTACCACAGGAGAGAAAAAATTATTTGGAAACTTCACACAATTGCACGGATGATGAGTGTATCTCAAGCTACAATTTCCGACATTGTCAACGATAAAACGTCTCTAATAAAGCGATGTGGAGGAAGGAAAAGGAGCAGACCCCCACACTGGTGGGGCTATTCAGAGCGAGAATTTACCTCAGTTCACGCATTCACACATAATAATACGCGTGAAATTCATGGGGTTTAGACAGGATTCGGCCATCATAATAAGCCAGATCCGCAAATAAACCATAAAGTAGGAAGGTTGGCTTTCGTCAGTACCTTTTGTGCACTCGTGCAGACGAGGTCATGCTCAGTGGGCTCAAAATCAACCCTGAGCAAAAGGACACTGATGGGAAAAACCGAAAGGTCAGTAGGTGAGTGCAGACATTATGAGTTGTGTGGTTTGAGTGATGCACGAAGGTGACTTTCCACGAGGACGATTCGATTAATGTAATGTGTGTGTGTGTAAAAGGCTGAAGTGTAAATGTTAGGGTCAAAACTCATTCAATTTTACCCTGAATGAACGAATAAAGTGTCTCAAAAAAGGTGGATAAGCTTTGTAGGCAAAAAATGGGGACAACGCTAGTCCCAAGACATCTGAAAAGTGTTTTAAAGAGGATTCACCAGACAGATTAACTCTTCGCGGGTGGTCCTTTCAAAACAAACGAACAAAGTGATTTGCTGATTTGGTTTAAGCAGCCGTCGAATAAAAGAAATACTCAAGAACTTGCGAAAAATTTCCGAATGGAATTAAAAGGAACATCAGGGAAAGAGTGTCGCGTTTACATGACCCTCACAACTGACCACTAAAAAAACCCTTTGGCAAGCCACCACTACGAGAATCCACTAATCACTTTTCCATCGTCCCGTGTTCGTGTGCTATGTTAGCTATGGACGGAAAAACGGGAATCTAGACTAAGTCCCGAAAAACCGTCTGCCGGAAGCTCGATGCCATTGCTATGACTCCGAAAAAAAATGTATTTATCCGATAACTTTTAAACCCCACGATGAAATCGAGACCATGCAAGACTGACCTTGAGAGAGGCGGGCGACAGCTTCGTGGTTGAGACATGCCTTATAGACCCGTCGGAGGCAGCATCGCCAATTGCAAAATCACCGTCAACAGACTCCCTGTAATAGTTGGACAAGGCAGCTTCCCGCTGATCCACAGTGGTCAACCAGTCAGCAATTGGCAGACAGCACTGAGGCAGAGTTTCCGACAGGAGAGGACCACTGTGCGTCAGAATTGGCTTCAAGAAACTGTAGAGGACAGGAAAAAAGCGCAAAAAAAAAAAAACTTTACCGACGTGTCAGTGCACCAAATGACAATGTTATAGTGTAGTTAGTACACTTGGCAGACAAGGGCAGGTAGTTTTCTCAACTGAGGGAATCAGGAATTTTCACGATGAAAACCCACCTCGGATTACCATTAAAAAATGCGATAAGATTAAAATTTAAGTTCGTGAGGTCACAACCTACCGCTATTGATAGCCTATTATTGGAGGAATAGTCTTTAGTTTCTCAAGGTTATTGCAGAAACACAAGCGGTCATTCAACCGCCCGTATGGATTTAATACGAATTGTAAGCACTCAGAGCATCCGTGATCTGCCTAGACAGGTAATGCAAATTAACGTGAATTAATATTTTCTTCTGTGTTTCTTCTATTTAAAATCTTGTGCTTGGCATCAAATAATCCAGACTCGGTCCGGGGTATTTGCATGAGACGATGCTACTTTTACGCGATGTTGCAGAACAAAACAACCAGTTGTTTCTGGGTTCATGAGGATAAGAATGGAGTCCGGTTATACTTATTGCGGGTTTTGCTCACAGGCGGCCTCAGACAGCACTTTTCACATCCCTTGTAAGACAGGGCAGATTTTTCCGGCGGAATTCTCTATTTTCAAACAATTGAAGGCTTTCTGCCACAACTACATTACCCCGCAATGTCCAGTCATTATGGTGAAAGATTTATGTCGGCAGTAAATTATGGGCCGAGACTGGCACTGATTGTTAACTCGTCGTCAAAATAGTTTAATAGCAAAAACAATAACTTCTAACATTACTTAAACATGTAATTTCAAATTCAAACGACTTTACTTTTGCATAATTAAGCAGAACTTCAACGCAGTTAAGACGGTGAAAGAAGATCCATTTTACGAGGGATTAGTGGAATTGAAACTAACCGTGAATCGAATTTGAACCAGCAGGTGCTGTGATACGACTTGACCCGCCTCTTGCGTGGATCATTCTAAAAATGGAAAAGCAATGTCTTATGGTTGTACTTTGACAGCATGGAGAAACCAGAGAATAACAGTTGGGATTAACACACCACAAGGTGCCTACTCGTCCTGGTAACCATAACGACGCTTGATGTTTCACAAAACTGAAGTAACAATTTTACGTTCTTTATTTGGAAAAACAAAGCTCAGAAAAGACCCCTTTTGGTTAATTTCTTAAATAACCTGATTAAGTGGTGCCAGTTAAAGAGGTAATATTGGTCCCACAATAAAACCAACTTCATAATTATAACCCTCGTTAATAAAAGGACTTCGTTTTTCCTTTTTAATATTACGATTCTTCCAATTCATGTTACATGCAAAGTCATAATCTATTGGTCACGCCTACGGTCACGTGCAATATTTATTATTACCGACAAAAGGCACCAAATAAGGTCTTTTCGAAGCATTTACTACGAGGCCACTTTTTTTACGACTATTATAATCTATTGCTTTAAACGATCGGCACTTATGAATTGAAAGCGACCAACTCAGCAGAAAAATAAGTAAATCTACGATTACAACTGTTTTACCGCGGTTCACAGGTAATTGTAACTTCAGGTAACTCACATTGTCGCCCGAATTTTCCTCGGTATTTTGAATATAAACTCTAAAATCAAAGCGTCGCACTTTACTTTAACGATAACAAAACGAAAGGTCCACCGCAAAGATCCTGATTACATGTTTTAATTGGTCTCAAACGATTAGTTTTAGATAACATAACTCTAATTTGATGATTGGAATATTCGTTAGAAAACAGGTAGTACAAACTTTTGGACCACCCAGGCTCATAATATAAACGAAGAGCAGGGATTTGAGTTTAAGCATTTCTTATTTACAAATTGTAGCCCCTATTCTCTCAGTATAGTCTTGGAGATCTTGGAAGCAATTAGTTCTGCAGTCAGCGAAACCATCATAACGCCTGACACCTCGCAGGTTAAAATAATCGGCTTATATGAAACCAAAACTATGGACATTCACTGTCACGAAGTTCAAACACATCTTTGATGCCAATAGAGTACTTGCACACGCACGCGCGCACACCATCATCTTATGGGGTGAAAAGGTGGGTGCCTTTCCATTTTGCACTGATTCCAATTTACGCGAACTCACACACCAATTGATTATCAATTCATATGCTCTTTAGGAGAAACACACCAATACATTGTTTGTTTGCTTGAGTCACCGTGTCTGAACACATCAGATAGTTTTCTGCATGAATCGAGAGCTTGACGAAAATGTGATACACAAAGGAAGAAATAAAAGCAATGCTATATAATATTTTTCGTGCCCAACCGCAATCATCATGTTGAGAATTAAAGTGGTTATGGGTGCGACGCTCGTGTTCGTGCAGTACAACCGGATTAACAAGTGTGAAATAACGCGATTCACAAGAAATCCTATTGACTCTGGAGGGCTGCTGATAGTTGAATGGGCCATCGGGGACACTCATTAAACAAAAGAATCTCGGCATAGCACGGAATAAAACGGGTGAATTAGGGAGAAAAAAGGGTGACACGTGACGTTAGAACTAATCAGCTATCCAATAAGAGACCTAACAATATAAGCCAAAGAACAAAAACTCACGGAATCTTAAGCCACTGAAGCATTGGCACGGCAAAACAACCACCCAGTAGCACTGTGATGATGACAATGATGATGGTGGTAGAGAAGAACATTTGCCTTACTTCGGTACTGGTATTTCTAATAGCTAGAGAGAAGGCCATAGCGCCTCTAAGGCCACAAAACACCAATAGATGCTGCCTGTTCCATCCTATAACTCCGTTTCGCTCCGATCCAGTGGCTGCGGCGGCAGTGATAGTTGGGTCAGCGCCATCTTCAACAGCGACTGTGGAAAGCGATGTGGTCGAGTTGAAGCGCTGCCAGCCAAAGACGGAGGTGTCCCCAACATTGGGAGAAGGATTCTGTCCGGTTCTGCGGCGGCGCTGGCAACAGCGAGAGGTGCAGCTATTCCGACGAAAGCAGTTGATCAGCGCCGACAACGGATAGATGGCACACATACGGGCTCCAACACAAGCGAACATGGTGATAAGGATAAACCAGACATCCCAATTGTGTGAACGCGCACTGAATGTCGATACACCGATGTAGGCGAAGACGAAGTTCTCTGCGAGGAAGCTCAGCAACTCAAAAGACTGGAGTAAATATCAAGAAAAATATTTACCGCAACCTATTCACCTGTCAATTGGGAGGAGGATATTTGAGACAAATGAAGAAGTCTAGAATACTGACACCAATTCAGGATCAATTCAGTTTGACCAAACGAATACTTCATAGGGATAAAAGTTCTCACTGAGCTCTACCAAAAATTAACTTGACGGTTTCACAAAATTGGCATTCGAAAACAACTACCTACTGCGAACGAGGACAAAACCAATATGAAGTGGAATGAATGCAATAGTGAGTTTGTCAGTACTTTCGAAACACGGTACCATGGCAATAGCTATTCAGAGGACGCAATTATTATGGAGTTTGGGAATACTTTTAAACCGACGTTAAAGTAAGTACTTCAGACCAGTTTGAATCCAAGTGTAGACAGGAACAACTTTTCCACTATGCATCAACTGACAAGCACATTTAAATTTGCATAATATGAATTGGAAGGCAGTAAAATACAAACCTGTTTGGTCCACACTTGTGATTCGCGTGACAAATTGTTGAATGTGTAGTGGGCTTGAGTAACACCACAGAAGAGAAGGGCAACAATACCTGGATATAAAAAATAGCAACAGAACCTAAGAATCAAACTGTGTTTTTAAGAACGCTGCCAACCAAGGTCTGACTTACGGTTCTGATACAAAGTCTTTCGCAGTTCACTGGACAAATCCAAGATTCTTTAGTATATGTTTAATCAAACGGCTCGATTTATAAATTTTGTATGGCGAAGAAAATTTATCCACAAGGGCATTTTGACTGGACGAGCTTTAAAATAGATACTGGGTTTGTCCAAGGCTCGCATTGACACAAGTGATTCTAATAAATACATGTGCGTGTCTTCAATGTACGAAAACCTCGATTCTCTCGTAAAAACATGAACACAGACTCGAAGTACGGCCTAAGAGGTAAAATTTTGACTTACCAGTGAGGCCAATGGCTTCGGAGAGGAAAAACGTGGAGTAAGATAGGAGCACGAAAAGGACGGTCTCAAGCAGGGGATAATCCCGGACATGTGTGTACTTTGTTAGCAATGCTGTGAAACATCCTATTGAGGATCCAAGGAAAAAGGAGCTTCCAAAGTTACCAAGGAAACTGGATATAGCTGAGACCAAAGCACGTCCCGTGAGTCCACCATGAACGGAGGGATCGAATTTGTCTACTGCTCTTAAATCAAAGAACCATAAGGATTGTGAGGTAAACCAAAGCTTGGGGTTTCTAATGGCGTTAATAGGATTTACAGAAACGTACCGTCTAAAAGGTTTAGTAACAATCAAATGCAGGTTGCACCGTAACAAAATTTCAAGGCACAAATGCACAATGTAGTTTGTAAAAATGGCCTACAGACAAAACCATTTAATTAAAAATGGAAAAAATGGCATATTAAACAAAATACAAACCAGTGACGACAGAATTCACCAAAAATTAAAAATTGACAATGATTATATTTAATTTATTAAAGTTGATACAGAGGTAGACATTAGGAAACTTACTGGGATAAGGAAATAGCGACGGCATCATTTAAGACACTTTCACCAAATACAAGGGCATACATATCGACATCGACGTTCAAATCGTGGAAAATAGCCAAAACGGTGACTAGGGAAGCCTCAAATTTTACCTTTAGGTATTACCTGGATCAGTTGCTGAAATTACGGATCCAAAGAACAGACAGTCATTGAATCGAAGCAATCCATTTAGACGTGGAATAAACCGCGACAATCCAAAGCACAAACAACTAAAGGTTTAATGAGAATATAACAGCCATTTACGCTGTAACAATTGAGGCAATGAATGTTCCAAGAAATGCAAAGGTGGTAATGGCCCCAAAGTTGCTAAAAAAATGTTTCTATAGGATAAAAGCTATGTGCAGATGTTTTACCCGTTTCATGCTATAACCGGCGGCAAATATTATGGGTGGTAGCAGAACGTTAAAAAATATTTCAGGATTAAACGTCATCTGAAAACATGAGGAATATGATTCCCTACTCTATAGTGGGCTGCAACAGTGTCCTTCGACTCTCCTTCTAGAGAGTAATGATAGTAACGGGAAACTTTTTCAGGTTTCATAACAGTAAGTTTAATTATTGCACGTTCTGGGGGTAATGTCAAGGAGCATGAATTGCCGGAAGCAGGTGGCAAATCGTAAACTTGTTTCGTCATAAAACGCTCAGGCACACCATATCGAAATATGGCACCAACGATTAGACCTGTCGTAAAAGTAAAGGAAAGGAATGCGCAAACCATAAATGACGGCGAGACCTGTCTCGTGAATATATCGGAATCGTCTGTGTTTGAAAAGCCAAATGGTAAGAACGGTTAGAGCCATTAGAATCGTGTAAGAGAGCATGTACACGTTATCGATGCGATGTTCATGTTCGATTCGGGCCTGAGTTTTGCGACCAATTTCATTTATATCATCAGCATGACAAGCATCCATCGCAATTACACAACTGTGTTATTCAAAGACGAAAACGGCTCGACTGTCATTTGAGTTCGGCGGCTGAAAATAGAAAAGTGTAAAACTCTCTCGCTCCAAGATATAAAGGTCAATATTAACGTAAAACATTTAAATTGTAAAGTTACGTAATATATATATTTCGTCCTTGAAAAAAATTAACAATAGTCCTATGCCATTGGTTACCGTTATCAAATTCCTGTCATCCGTTCACTCATCCACAACTAAGTCACAATTGGCTGACGTGACGTTAATAAACAGTCGTGTCCTCTGTCGCCTCTCTTTATACCATTCTCGGGTTGATGTGGGCTGATAACTAGAGGATTGTAGGGTAGTGCTAGACCACAAGCCACTACGTTAGTAATCAAAAGTTTTCAAATAGGATTCAATTTATCAGTAATATTACTGTAAATCAAAAGCCGTTGTTGGATAATTTTGACGATTAACACTTTTTCGGGATAGCCTAACGATAAATATCGGTCTCCTGAGTAAAAAAGGACTTTAGAATCAGGCAGTACCAAATAATTTTCTTAGTGTTTAATGGAATAAAAATTGTCGTTTTCGATAATGTAAATTCAATAATACTTTGTTGTGGAGCTGCCAGCTCACTGGTAGTGATTTGGCAATGATGCATCGTTGCAAAAGGAAAAGAAAGTTTTTATTTATATGGTACGAATCACGTGATGATGCCGAATTTATACATTTTTAAATGATTGAAATAATTTTTTTAAGTTGTATCTCTTGTCATAAGAATTACAAGTAAATTGAAACACCTGTTCAGAGTTGTACAACGGAAATCAGGTGTGCATAAAAGCAATGCCCATTTTTATTTATAAATACTTCCATAGTTTTTGACTATTTATTATCTACAATACATATTTTGAGGAATATTTTTTTAAATATTGATTTTCTAAATTATCTCTGGAAACGTGTACTACTTCTCTGCCGATTATTCAACCTAATTCCACACTTTTAAATAACGTGAACCTTACCACGCTCCCTACATATAATACTTGTTTGTCTTTCCCGATTCAAAGTGTTTTAACTTTCCTTTGCAATACAGTTATCAGCCCTACATGGGGTCGCATTGTGGCAAGTTCAAGGACGTAAAATGCGATTAGATGATCTCCATGACATAACAAACTGACACTGAGCTACTTGGACGTCAATTTTAAACTAAAACACGAGCATTGCATTTCATTTAACCCATACTTTCCCTGTTTTATAAACTGACTTCTCTGTCACCAAAATCCAAGTGGTAGCGTGACTTGTCTATTGGTTTTGCATAACTTTGAATCCACATAACAGGAATTTTGTCCCTCTCTCTTGCTGCACTATACACTACACTACCTGACCATTTCTTTAAAAAAATGACAATTTATTTGATTGTTCCCAATTTAGGTAATTTCGAAACAAATTCGTATTTTCATAACCCATCAATTTCGAAAAGAATACCATTTTTGCCAAATATGCATAATGTTGTTGAATAGGGTAAGACCCTAGATATTTGCATGAATCGCACATCATCATGTTCATGTGTGTTTCAGTCCCATGATTAGAAAATGAGTACTCATCGTTTCATTAAAAGGAAATAAATTGTATCAACAGCTATTTATTTGCACGTACATTTGACGAAACTCGTGAATAGTAATTAGAGGCACCCACATAACTGTGCACGTAATTCGCTGTGCCCAATTGATCAGAAAATGGAAGCTTTGGTAGTGCCACACATTGTCACCACAAAAGCGTACAAAGTGATAAAAATCAATAACAAAATCAATATACACGGTGCAGGAATCTTAAGAAGGTAGAACACGAGACATAGAATGTTCTGGTTGATTACTCGGCGAAGTGGTACAGTGTGGATGAAGTGGAATGATTGCAGTGCGGTTGCGATTACAGATCAGAAACATCGATCACGAGTAAGTCTTCCTGTTCTTCTTTCGTCCTACAATCCTTCTGTAAAATCAAAAAATGTCAGTCATGCGATTCGCCTTTAGAAGTAGTGTGCGTATGCGGCGTGATAAAATCATTGCACAACGCTAGCTGAAGTTAGACTAGCTAGACTGCGAGGCCAAAACACCGACCATGTATTTATTCAGCATTGTACTTGGTAATCGATGGTTGACTGAGAGTCAGAAGTGTCAATGCAAAAGTTTACACACAAGCAGCAAACAATTCGCTCAATGTGCTGCTTAAGACGTTGACCGAACAATTTCCGATTGAGTAAACGGAAACTGGCTCATGTAGCAGGCAGACATAAGTGAAATTCAAGTCAAGTGCCACGATAAAGGAAACTGCCTTGTTCTCACAGAGAATTCTGAGAAGAGAGGACAGTAAAGAGGGAAATTTGGGAATATAAATGACATTGGGGAACGAAATTCCACTAAGCCAAAAACGTATACGAAATAAACTACCACTTAACCATCGTTAGTGATCTAAACATAAGGCATGGCAGAGAGTGTCTCCAGTTAAAAGTTCTGACCGAAAAACTAGCATTTAAAAGTTTTTTTATACTTAAAATGCCACTTGGATAGAGAGAATCGGTTCTGAGTCTAAATTAAGGAAGCGTTTAGAGGTTCGTAAGTAATTCCCAAAACACCAAAAAATAAAGCAGTAGTCTTTTGTGTGGAAAACCAGACCCATATTCGTTCTGAGGATCCTAGTGATTAAAATACACTGTCATAGAAAAAAACCATAGTTAAAGTGGTCGTCACGATTACTCGGTGGGCGAAATTGCTTATCCAGTTAGTTGCTGCTTTATTTTATAAAATGATTTAACTCTACCCAAACGAAGAGATTCAAATTGCAATAATTAATGATCCCCATTTAGGGAAAACGCTTAAGTTGGCAGCAGAGAGTGCAGACAACGAAGAAGGCACTTTATTTAGTGGCCGCATGCACGCCACAGCTGAATCCGAAGACTCGAGCTACCGGGTCCCTGGGAAGAAGAATGTGAAAAAAAGGCTATAAGTGGAGAAGAAAGTCAAGGTCACACTCGTACCTCATAAGCGCGTTTTAATCAGGGGGCAAACAGTCGAGCTACCAGGAGACACGTCGTTAAGTTTTATCAGATGACGTCACAGTTCAATTTTTTCAAGCTTACTTAAAACAATAGTAAAAAAGGGCAGCCCATCAACTAAACTACATACAGAATACGGTAACGAAAAATTAACAAAGAGGAAACAATATAAGGCATATGTCTAAAAGACCACCTCAACAAGTGCATGGGTGACTACTGCGTGTTGAAAAAATCAAAGAGAAACAAACTTTGCCGCGTACAAAGAATGCGCGACAAGTAAAAAGCACCAACAATCTTGCCATCTAAATGTTCCTGGGGTGGCGTTACATCCAAGAAAATCCGAATAAAATCAATCCGCATATGGGGCTCGGCTGCAGTTGGATTTTCATTGCACAGGTTCACATGTGCGAATAGAGCGAAAGCAAAGCTGCTAATTAAATCAACAGTTACAATCAGGCTGGCTTATCTGAAGTTCGGCACCTTGACTACACGGTTTTATGTGACGGCCATGGAGTATGCAAATGGCCGCAGGCACATCACACGGTACCACGAGGAAGGCCAACAAAAAAACCCTCGGAAACAGAACTGCAGTGTTGGCGACCTTATCAAGCGGAAGAGTTGTTTCTAAGACAGCTTTTGCAAAACCCTGTGCATGAGCACCGGAGGACATGAAGACACGGACAGTAGCCTTCGGGCATAAATAGATAATTATAAAACCACAACGAAACAGTTCTTACTGCTGAAAATGGGTGAATAAGATGTTTTTAAGTTGCTAATAAAACAGAGAGATATCGTTTCAGTAACAATGAGTTAAAAAAAAGAGGTTTATGCGCAACTGATATTTTAATTTAGCAACAATAAAAACAGCACCGTCACCTTCATGAGCTAATGCGTCAAGCAAACATATCGGCATATGTTTCTGGCTTCCAGAATGCCTTGAAGGAAAGTACATAAGCATCTCAGGGGGGGGCGAAATGATATTGCAAAATCATCGGACATGACCTACTACGACGCTTGAGGTGAATGATGAGGAAGACTGAAGGCAACCAAACAGGAACGTAAGTGTGCTAGCAGTCGACTGTCAAATGTCCATTAACAGTTGCGTTAACACTAACGTGGAGGAAGATTTATGGCAGTTCACAGAGGCAATGGTAGGACACACAAGGTCGACTTTAATTTTAGGCCAATGACATAATCACATATTGCTAATATTCAGCTCTCTAAAATGAGGTAAGTGGGCTGCTGCTTCAAAATTCAAAACTACATTTGTTCATGTTGCTTATACGTTTAGTAAAAACTGTATTGCACTTAAAGTAAAACAGTTTCGGCAATTTCACTGTATAGCGCGAGGACACTTTTGGTGTACATCCACTTCTCAATGATTAAGCGATGAATTTTAAAATTTTTTGCTGTTTTACTTTCAAGTTTCTTGTGGAAACGTGCCTGGCAATGAAGGACAACGAGGTAGCCCAACGATGGACAAGGATATGCAGGAGTCAAAAACGAGTGGCAAGACGTTGTTTTCAACGTGTTATAGAAGGTAACACCAGTCTCACGGGGAAATCAAGTGCTGTACAAGACAGGACCTCACTTGAATTGGTTGATGAGGAAAGCAACGACGCCTAAACAACGCGGTCCTTAGCACAGCTGCATTGGTCGACTGAACCGGCGAACAGGTAGTGCCGGCCTTGTTTTACCAAATGATTTACGAACAGGTACAGTAAAGTGGAATAAGTTACAAACAAAAAGGACCTAAGTTGCGAGTGACACGCAAATAGTGGAGGAACAAAATCACACACAGTTGTGTCGGTTAGATGCTCAATTCAAGACGAAGTGACACTTCTAAAGAGAAGCTCGCAAAAAGCACCAAACATTTGAGGGAGAAAGGAACCCGGAGAAAAAGCAGGACAGAATTGTGTGACATGTGGGCCGGGGACAATCGCACCGCTGACTCATGACGTCAAGAAGGCATGCAAAAATTGCCAACCAAGAAAACGGCAATTCAGTTTCTGTTGGAAAAATCCATGCACGCGTGAACTGCGAAAGCATTGTGCGTTCCTAACAGACGGGAATTGGTATCAGTCACCCTGGACACCACCACTTGGCGGAGACTTATCATTTCTGCACCCAAGTGTCGCTGCTACGCAGATACGATCTGTAGCAAGCACCTTCCCTGATAGAGATTTCATTATTTTTATTAGTTGTTGTTGTAGTTGTTGCTGTCGTTGTCCCATTCTATATGCTAAACCGTCTTTAAGAGAAAAAATGGCTTTATTGAACGGCACAATAATGTAAAAATTCGCTTAGTGGTTCAGATTGATTTATTAAAATCGTTACTCCTGCATTTTCGGTGAAGGGATACTGAGATACCAATGGGAGCAATGACCAAACAGAAGGACAAAAATTGAAAAAAAAAACATCCCAAATAAGGTACTTAAGCGGGTGAAGAAGAAAGCGTGTTGCGCTTTACTGAGGAGATGGGCAAAATGACGATGCTGAATGATTAATTGAACTAAGAGACCAACTGCTGGCTTGCCGACCCTAAAATTCATGATTATTGCTACACGTAAAATTGCATTGGAGTCGGCAAATATTAATTTGACAGAAGTGATTAACTTTAATGACCGCGAAACTGTGTCAAAAAGTGAACCCCATATTTGCGCAGCACACACGCTTGCAAAACGTGGGGGGCGCATCACGCACGGCTCTGGTCGCTTTGGGAAAACAGTGAAGTGGGCACAAGGGAAACGAAGGAGCGCAGTTTAATAGTCATAATGGTTAGCGAAGGAGTGGCACAATTTTTGTTTCCCTTGAGGTAGATAGACGAGAACAACGACAAAGCTAGGCTCTTAATTGTGATAAATGAAGCGCCAAAGTTGGTTAAAAGGATCGATGCTCAAAGGCCACTGCAACAGTCGTCCGATCTCAACACTGCATTTTCACAATGATAAAGGGGTTTCACAAGGTGAACTTCACAGAGTTACCAAATAGATATGAAAAAGCTAACCCAGAAATTCTTCGTTAATTCTGCTGTGCAATAAAATGCCTTTACATGCTATTTACAAAGAAGGAGGTGGGAGAATTACTCAAAAGTGACATAAGTTTTTTTGGTTTAACCATTCATAGTGACTGAACTTACGCAAAAACAATATGATATCAAAGCCATACTACGGCCTTTAAGACACCTTGCACCAGCCCTTAATGCCTTAAGGAAACTAAACATACCTCTTGAAGCAGGTCTTGTGCGTCTACATCACGCAAAATATCGTCCTTGCTTGACTCCTGCATTTCACCACAGAGCACCAACTCATCTAGCACATAGTAGGCCTTTTCGAAGTGAAAGATTATGTCCAGCTCACAGACCTGGAAAAGAGGAAGACAGGCAGTCAGAGGAGGCGCTCTCAATATGCACATGCAGCAGTAGCAGCACTGGGCGTGTGTGCATGTTGCAGGCACAATTTCACCTAGTCCTTCAGCGCTGTTTTGTTTTTTTGCCGATGCCAGATGATTGGGTCAATTATGGGAACCAACCAGCCGAGTAACCCCCCTCTTCAACCTGTATTTACGCACAACTTCACATGCAGACCACTTCCTTTACCCACATTAGAAAAAAACAAGACAGAAAGGGGTGTAGCTGAATGAAAAAACCCTCATGCTCGCAGTAATGGGGTCAAGTTACCGAAAAGAGGCCGTTTGTACTCAAATAGCACACCCGCATACATAAACGTTTGTCCGTAAATCAACGCGCAGGCACGTTCATTTAAATAAGTACAGCAACTTGAAAAGCAGCGCAAGAAATGACACCACTCACACCAGCCATCACCAATTGAGCAAGCGCCAGCTTCGACAAAGCAACGTAATTTTGTTTGCAAAATATTGTCTACTAGGCGCAATTATTAATGCCTCACTTAAATAGTTGGCCTCTTTGTTAATCAACGAGCCCTTAATGTCAACTGTGCAAGTCATCTGAAACACGCTAAAAAGCGCACTAATGCATGTTTGAGTGTGTACGTAGGGAATCGCGCCAATGCAAACACCCCAGCTCTACGTGGCGTTTAACCTCAGCCAGTCCGTAACAACTGCTATAAGCAAGCAATCAACACGAAACAATCAACCCCAGATCAGGGACGAAGAAGCCTCTGATTACATGAAGGCAACAATAGGGTGACTTAGAACATGGAGTGCGGGGCGCAAAACCAATTTACACATTATTTTTTCTGTTATTGAAAACGAGACCGCAAGACTACGCCTCTGAGGAGATTCCTCATTGAATGCGTGCAATTACCAAATGCCTGAATATCTGCGTTAAAGACCGATCAATCCTTCAAAAATTAATAAGACAATTTGTGTAGTTAGGTCGTGAAGCAACTGTAATTTACACGGGACAGTATCAGATTAGCACAGCACAAACAAATTTCTTCTGCCCCATTCTAAATTTGGGAAACACCAAATAAATCTCGACATCACGTAAGTACGATACAGGCCAGAATTAGAGATTGGGAATTTGGCCCAGCTTCGGAGTACCACTGGTCCAGTCAAACTAACCTGAACTAGTAGCACCGTCTGAAAAAAATCAACCCGACAGTTACACACCTCTAATTCATTTTTCGTCAAACCTATGGATAAATTTCGCTTCAGCCTGGTATTTGATTTCTTTACTTCGACTATAAAATTTTGAATTTTGTTCACAGACTTCGGACCATCCAGTAAACAATGCTGCATTTTTCTTGCCTCCTTTGCGTTTACAAAAACACATTTCAAATACATACAAATAAGCACACATTTGCCAGACTAATAAAAATATAATGTCAACAATTCTTTTAAATCCGTAAGCTAATATATGCCAAAACTGCTTTCATAGAATCGAATACCACGTCGATCATGATCATGAATAAATACTTGCATAATCATCTTATCCCTTTAAATAAAAATTTCGCATTTATACCAACCTGATCCTAGCAAACAAACTGCCATAAATAATTGACACATTTTCATGCAAAACGGCTATTCAAACCAATCTAGTTATTGCATAACTGACGTAATGAAATCAACAAAATCTGCGTCATTAAGGACGGCCACATCGTGAACTCGATTAAACAGCATATATCACTGCAATGGCATTACAAATTCAAGAGAGCCATTTCACATGAATAAGTAAAGGCCGCCGGTATTACTCATGGCCATTATTAGCAATTTTATATGACTTTACTTAAAGCGTTTACACTGAGAGCGGCTATTCAAAAAGGCACTTTTTGGTAACGAGGCACTAGAGTTAACAGAGAAAGGATAACTGATTTATCTTAATAAATAGTTCAGCATTAAATTCATGTCAAATTGGCAAGGCTTTGTGATTGAAGGGAAGTGCTTAGTCCAAAACTATCGATCTTTAAACTGGGACTTTCCATGACATCTTCGATTAAAAAAACATGTTTTCGTCGTAAAAAATGTAGAGTTTCAAATAGTCTAGATACTTGGTATCGAGAATCACGATGAATTTAAGTTAAAATGCACTTGCTATTAAGCAGAATGCAAAGGGGAATGAGTCGGCTCAGAGATAATTAGACAAATTTCACAACTGCACTTAGCATTCAGAAACTCCCAGATTAAAAAAAATCAATACAGATGGAACGCTAGGGCCTCAAAAACAACACATGAGCGACTTACACTTCCGAAATAGCGATCCAGAATTTCGACATACCGGTGCATAACCTCAAGTGTTAATAATTCATTGTCTTCTGGTTCAATTGCACAGCAGAAATAAAGACTAGCATATCTAAAGTAATAGGCTGAAACCAAGTAAACTCTAAACCTTCTATATACAATTTTCTTATCTCTCCAATCCAAAACAGAACACATTTTAGGCTTCCTATTGAGAATAACAGGAATAATGTCTCGCAAAATTTTTTTCTTTTCCTTTTCTGGATATGACATATACCATTTTTGGAGGCGAACCTTTCCTTGTCTACTGAAGAGAAGGAAAAACTGAATCTAAATACATGGTATAAACTATCCTAGACAATGAACAAACCATTCAAAAGTGTCGGAAAAATTCACAAGTGAAACGGGCCAACGAATTTGCTGAACCCGCGACTATTTTATCCAATAACTTTCTAGGCGATCCCCTTTTTGCTGACACATGACCTTGACATGATATTACAGAAATAATTTTTTAAATCTTAGTTATAGACAACCATGATTCTTTCTCAAGTATTAAGAGCTCAATTAATTTTGTTATGACATTTTCACTAAACATTGTAGCCAGTATGAACTATCAGGCTCAACAGGACATCGAAATTTTCCAATTTGATTTTCATTCGAAACAGTAAACGTGAGGGAAATTTAAGATGTAGTTGGTAAAATATCCTCCTAGTGTATTTTTTTAATAGAAAATAACTATGTTATGTTGGTAATTGCTACCTTATTTAGGGTTTTCAAAAGCGTTTTATTGTCCTTTGCTTTGTCGATAGTCTCTTGTCCTAATTTCCAAATAACTACATGTTTCTGCGCACACATCAAATTAAGATTTCACGTTTTGTGCGTTTTCATGTGGCGCGTTTAAATGTGAATTAATAGTAATGATAACTATTGACGCACGTCATTTTCAAGAGAATGAAATAATCTCTCAATAATACTTATATCTGCATGTACATATTTCTGTGTTTTACCATTTGGATACACGGGTTGGATTAATGGCGTTTTATATAGGGTTTCTGACTTATATACTGCCAATTTTAATGAAGCAAATGCTAGTTGAAACATATGCTGCCACCAGTGGGGCCGCAACACTCCGACGTGCGCATCTTCAAAACTTTTTGTCACCGTGTTAACCGATGGGCAATGATTGAGGAGTACATTTTGATTATTATATGAATATCCTATTAGGACAGTCCGACTGATGCTATGGAAACACTTGCCGTCACATGACAAGGTTTTTCGCTCTTTGTATCGCGACAACGGCTATCTACAACAAAGGACAACAAAACTCTTACTGTATCTACAGATTCATACTTTGTGAAATGAGACAGTCATCAAAATCACAAGCATTTGCAAATATAAGCTAAATTATAAGCTTAGACATTTACGAAGAATATTGAACAAAGTGGGGCACTTGTAATTTTTTCTCCGTCGAAAGTATCATGGTCCAGTTTACAAACATGCGCAGAAAAACCGAATACATTTAGGACCGGATCCTCTTGAATTCATCGTATTGTCATAGCACCTAATTTTACCTCAAATTACTCCAAAATGTCGTCGAACACATGCAATTTGGGCATTGTACGTTTTTCGCACTTCTCTTACTATAATGACACTTTGGCCCTAAATGCACGCTGCGAAAAGATAGTTAGCAGTTAGGCAGTCCACATAGCAATTTAAATAAGATGCGTGTGCAAAAGATTTTGTTGACACTTGGGCCTACTCTAACGGAATTTAGGAAAGCCTCGAAAACAAAAAAGTTAACACGAGTTCGCGCCTATATCTGTAGAAGCAATTCTGAATCTCATCAAAAACCTTTATATACACAAGTGTAAACTTAAGCATACGCATAAATTAAACATTGACTATATTATTCCAAAGCAGCGTTCCAAAATATGAGTGATGGCATTTGATTCTGTGAGTAAGTCCAACTGAGATTTCTCCGAAAACGGCGCCGCGCTGTCAGCAAGACTCATCAACCGTGGATCAAGTGGCATTCGACCTGTTAATAATAGATGACAAAATTAAGTGGTAACTCAAATTAGCCAAAAGAAATGACAAGAATGTCACAAAATTGTAATACTAACAGGTGATTCGATTAGCAATATTTTAAAAACTGTTTAAGGGGGGTTGAGAATGGGTGATTCCCGCAACCTGCGTTTCAGAAGCATAAAGAATGCATGACATTTGATGCGAGACAGAAGACATGGAGTTAATAACCTTATGAAAAAGGCTAATAGTGTCCCATAGTGACCATTAACTTAAACAGACTTCTAGTGCTTTTTGTTACAATAAACAAGCACTAAGATGCACAGACTGAAAGCTCAACTAGTCATTTAAACACAAAGCCGCTGGGGCATATATTAAGAGTTTGCTACATTAGGCAAGTAGTTTGAGTTCGAAGGTTATGACATCATGGAAAAAGGATTTTTGGTATTTAGCCGAACAACATTGCAGAACTCTTAGCCAAGGCCATTAATTTACAACTACAGGAACAACTATCGTCCACATAGGATAGCTCGATTAGACGGTGTTATGTTACTTGTGCAATTTGAGTAAATAAAACTCAATAAAGACGTTTCGGTATTTTCGTAAAACATATTCTGCGGGGTAATAAGGAAAGTCATTGTTTGACATTTACAAACATGCTATGTCGGTTCACAAGAAGAATGAGTTGAAAGAATTGGACCAAACTGTGAAATGGCGCAAAGTGGTTACTCGTCAACTCGCATCTTGAAAACACATGACATGTGCTTAGTGCATCTCACTGCCTAAAAACATTACTGCTCAAAAATGCCACCGCAATGACAAGAAAGCAGACATGGAAACGCTGGCCTGATTGACGAGAAAGGGAGTAAGAAATGAGGGGATTCACAATAAATCCTTCAATAAAAGCCGAAATAGGGACATCAATTTTATCGGTCAAAAACATTTCTGAGAATATAAACAGACAGAAATATTTTTCGCTTACAAGTCATCCAAACCTAAGGCGCTGTTATATTTCGAAAATAATCCGAAAACTTGTTACAAAACCGAAATGGGATTTTAAAATATATTAAGACTGCAATCTTACCTAGAAAATGGACCATTCTTTCTTGAGCTAGTGCTTCCCCTCCACCAGACGAGAAGAGGTTGACCGTCTCCATGCACTTGGGACACTGAACACCACTCATATTTTCAACGATCCCCAACACCGGTAACTGAAGCTTCTCGCAAAACGTTAGCTGCCTTCGAACATCACAGATGGAGACACGCTTAAGAGAAACTCTCACACTTAACAAATCGAGCATTTGATTACAAAAAAATAGACATGGATCAAACTGTCATTCCATCAACAACTCGGATAAGTGGCAGTCGAAAGGAAATCACCGCAGGATATGAACAAACTGGTGTCGAGGACTCACGTTTACAATATTTATCAATAAAACTACATGTGGATCACTAGCTAACCACTAGCACACGTGGTCATTTCTGAGAGTTTGGCTAGATGAAATATTGACTCTTCGACATCAATAGTACACCTGCTCAAAAATCAGCATAAATGAAGCAGAGCAGGATAGAACAATTTAAGGATAACCAGAGATTTAATACCTAACCACCCTTGCTACTGTGTTTCTGCGAAAGAAAGTGGTCCTTGACATCTTACGTACATGCATAGAACAATTGACGGCTAAATCAGCAAATGAAAGTAGGGGAAGCAACTGCCTCATTTGGGTTATTCGGTAGAATAGTTATAAGCGCACAAACCCTTTTACAATTGGAAGAAACACTAAGGCGGTACGCTAGCAAACATAAGAGACTTCTATGCTAAGGACGCATACTAACCTGAGGCGTAGTTACGACAATAGCACCCCTAAAACGATCAAGGGCGTACTCCCGAATTTTTTCGATAACTGAAATATGTTCGTCAGATGTTCCAGGCGGCGTGTCAATTATCAATGCGTCTAATTCACCCCAACAAACCTTAGAGAGAAACTGGTCAATCATGGAAGTTTTTCGAGGACCCCGCCAAATCACGGCAGACTCCTTATCAGGTAGCAAGAAGCCAATGGACATAACCAGGAGGTTCTGCGAGACAGTGTCCGCCGCAACAGGAAGCCAGCCATCAGAACACTGCTGGATCTGAAAACCAGTTTAACGAATACTCACACGTACACATGCGCTTTCCAGACCGAGAATTCTTGGGATGGAAGGACCACAGAGGTCTACATCTAATACACCAACTTTGAAGCCCTTTTTCGTAAGTCCGATAGCTAACAGACAAGTCAGTGTGGATTTGCCGACACCGCCTTTGCCTGATACAACAACGAATACACCTCGAACACGCCCAATGCCACCCTCCATTTGTGTTCTTATAAATACCTTAACAAAAATGCAACTATTATATCAGTGACACAGTGAAATCTTAGCATAAAATAAGGGAAGATAGAACTGTTTATTTAAGCGAATGTTAAGGAAAATTATGATATCGAGAATATTTGTTCGTATCGGGATGTAGCGGCTCGTCACAACAATGGCGCCCATAACCGTATTGGTTGCGATGCATGGGACTCCTGTCTTCAAATCGCATGCTACTACGGGAGTAATATTGACCTGGAAAACCCCGCGGCTGGTGTATAGAGCTGTGTGCGTATTGTTCGGGAGAAACGTAAGATATCGAAGGGCTATTTCTCACCAAATACGGAACAGGTAAATATCTATTTGAGTACTTAACATGAAACGAATCGCGTAAAGACGAATCGGCATGAGACGAATTGCTCGGGCGTCGTTGAAGGTTAGTGGTGTAAGGCGGGATAGACTCGATTTTGGAATTCGAGTACTTTGAACCTTGACGCGGCTTAATATTAAGTTCGTAATCAAAAAGCGTGACACCTTCAAAGAGTGAACAAGCATATATAACTGATTCTTCATCTTCAAAAGTAACAAAACAAAAGCCGCCTTTCATTGCAACACTTTCAACAGGTCCTGCCTGATGAAAAAGTTCAAATATTAAAGCTTCCGTAGCTTTAGGAGGCAAGTTTGAAATGTACAAGGTTCTATCAACTTCCATTAGGAAAGTATGTGAACAGATAAGAATGTGTGGTGTTGTGGCGTCGGATCAGGGTGCAGACATATTTGACAACCTGGCCCCAGCCAATCCTGTGTCTCCCTGTGTTCCAATGGCAT